TGTTTTAATATTTGTGTTAATTTTGATTTATTTAGGGCCCCTTTATAACATATGCTACAGGCCCCCGCACTAACTTAATCCGGCACTGGCGGGGAGCGTAGATGGATTATAGTACTGCACAACAACGGATGTTGTCGTTGTTGTTGTTGTGCTATTCTTTGCTGACAACGTAGCACAACAGCAGCAGTCCACGTCGACGGGCTGTTAGCCCGGGAGGACGTCCGCCGTGGAGACGGAGCGATGTCATCAGCCCAGGATTCCCTCGACTGCAAGATCATGGCGGCTTCTGGCGGCTTTCACCAAGCAATGATTCGCCCACGGCCGATGACAATAGGCAATTAATTAGCTATACTATATAATAGCACAACATTACAATGATCATAGCCGTTAAGAAATGAGAATTGTGGACCGGAGCTTGACAATAATGGGAAAGTAAATTGGCATAAATTATCGTGACATTTGTAAAAAAGAAAAAATGAGAGAAGCGTCAGAGAAATTGTGCCCAGAGATAAAGCGGCTGGCATTCACTCCCCAGAGTAGCGGCGTTTGCAGAGCTCCCAACACGCACACGACCGCATCCCCCACCCGTGAGCTCCAGCGACCTTCGTTCCATCATTGACACTCCACGCTTCTCGGAACCCGCCAGCAGCAGCAGCAGCAGCAGCCGCCAGCAGCAGCAGCAGCCGCCAGCAGCAGCAGCAGCAGCCGCCAGCAGCAGCAGCAGCAGCAGCCGCCAGCAGCAGCAGCAGCAGCCGCCAGCAGCAGCAGCAGCAGCAGCCGCCAGCAGCAGCAGCAGCAACAGCCGCCAGCAGCAGCAGCAGCAGCCGCCAGCAGCAGCAGCAGCAGCCGCCAGCAGCAGCAGCAGCAACAGCCGCCAGCAGCAGCAGCAGCAGCCGCCAGCAGCAGCAGCAGCAGCAGCAGCCAGCCGAGCAGCAGCAGCAGCAGCCAGCAGCAGCAGCAGCAGCAGCCGCCAGCAGCAGCAGCAGCACAGCCGCCAGCAGCAGCAGCAGCAACAGCCGCCAGCAGCAGCAGCAGCAGCCGCCAGCAGCAGCAGCAGCAAGCCGCCAGCAGCAGCAGCAGCAGCAGCCAGCCAGCAGCAGCAGCAGCAGCCGCCAGCAGCAGCAGCAGCAGCGCCGCCAGCAGCAGCAGCAGCCAGCAGCAGCAGCAGCAGCAGCCAGCAGCAGCAGCCGCCAGCAGCAGAAGCAGCAGCTGCTTCGGGAGATGACACAAATATTAACTCCGCTCAGCCTGTCCAAGCAGCAGCAGCAACCTCAGCCGCGTTTACCGGGACCTCGAGTGATTTGTTCGCAACTCCCGCATCATCCTCCACCAGTTTTCTTTGGGTCTTTCGGTAAAGTCACGTAGATAGAAAATTTAAATAAACTACGGCGTTTCGATCGCAACACAAGCGGTCGTCGATTGTGTTGCGATCTAAACATCGAAGTTTTTTGTTATTTTCTTTGATTCTATCTACGTGACTTTACCGAAAGACCCAAAGAATGTGAATTCCTGCAGTCACGAAAGCAGCAGCAGCAGCATTTACGCAAATTATTTTACGGTCGATGATTTATTTGTTTCTGAAAAGCGACTTTGGGATGGTTTATATTAATTGCAACCTTGGAAGGCTGAGGTGGTAAATTAGTGTTATTGAATAGTACAGCTAATGAATTAATTTCCTATAATCGTTATCAGCCGTGGTTGATCCACTGCTGGATTCAGGGCTCCCCACGCCACCACCGCCACTTCTCACGGTCCCGCTGCAGAATAATTATATAAGATTATAATCTAATCGGCACCTACACACAAAAATATCGAGCGTTGCATCACTTGGGTGGCCGTCCATTGCAGAAACCAAAAGGCTTGAAGGAACGCGAATTTCGTAATGAATGTAAAAACAAGTTTATTTCCGTCACAATCTTGCACATCACACAACAGACAAGAGCACGATTAGCGAGGCCGACCGACCAATCGTTCTCTCACAGCTCATGGCACGCAGAGTGTTTTGGTAAAGGAGGCGGCGTTGAGGTCTCCAGCCAGCGCCGAGCTCACACTCAAGTCTCCCTGTGCTTGTGCATTTGCAATTAATGAGCGTGAAAAAATTCACCGGCTCGAGGCTTCTCCGCGGTCGACCGTCCGAATCTGACAACACGGCCCCCACCATCAGAATACAAAGCCACGCATTCTTGCGCCGTGCAATCTCGTCGTCGTCGCGTGAAGAGAGGGAGATAATGAGAGTATATTGACCATATCGGGCAGGCAATGTTATTTTAATCACAGCAGGGATTTTGCGGATACAGTCGACGGAATTAAACCCAACACAACGGAATGCCGTTCAATAGCGTGCCCTTCACTTACAAGTCAATGTTACTGACTCACTGCTGCCCATCCACTTTATCATAGGCAGATAATAGCACTAATGGCTCTCTCACCTTTGGTGCAATGGATGTCCTCTGTTGTGACTTTCACTCCCCGCGATGTTTAGAAATTCCGTCTAAAATGCACAGCTTAAGCGGTGTAACCTGTAATCGTACGTGACGACTGCTATCGAACACTTGACATGTGATGTCCGTCTGGCCGCTTGAATCGCTGGTCCTTATGAACAGTTATCAGCGGTGCTGCAGGAACACCGATCGAATTCCAGCCTTTCCTCATTCCTCGTGGGAACACCTCCCATGTTCAGAGCTCCGTCTCTCAGACTGTTCTGTCTCACCCACACTGTTCCACCATCACAGTGCAGGTCACGATACCGCACTCACACACCCACTCACACACCCACTCACCAACCCACTCACCCACACACTCACCAACCCACTCACTTACCCACTAACCAACCCACTTACCAACCGACTCATCAACCCACTAACCAACCCACTCGCCAACCCACTCACTTATTCACTAACCAACCTACTAACCAACCCCCTAACCAACCCACTCACTAACCAACCCACTCACTAACCAATCCACTCACTCACCCACTAACCAAGCCACTCACCCACTCACTAACCAACCTACTCACTCACCCACCCACTCACCACAGCGCAGGTCAAAACACCGCACTCTCCCACCCACTCACCCATCCACCCACTCACCCATCCACCCACTCACTCACCCATCTACCCACTCACCCATCCACCCACCCACTCACCCATCCACCCACTCACCCATCCACCCACTCACCCATCCACCCACTCACCCCCTCACTCCACTGCTGGTCACCTCCCTTCTCTCTGCTTCTTCCCTCGCACTGCTCCACTTTGGAATCCCCTCCCACCATCATCTCTGTTCACAAGCTCCTAATTGTAATAACGTTGCTCAATTAAAAACGCGTTGTACACTCTTGTCTCCTGCAGCTGTCGGCGTGCTGTTTGTTGCTGCTCGCTGGACACACGGCGCGAGTGTGTGAACAACGCGCGGTTCGCGAGCGGCGCTGCCGTGCTTTGAGCCAGGCTGCCCCCGCGTGGACGCAGACTGCATTTGTCCAACAGCCTGCAAGCGCGCACGCTTCACAAATCCACGTGTTCGCACGGAGGCTTGCGCGATACGGAGGGGTGCAGCGACGCACCGGATTCATCAATTTTGATATGGATTATTCGTTGGGTTTTTCGATAAAGTCACGTAGATAGGTTCAAATAAATTAACAACAAACTACGACGTTTCGATCGCAACACAAGCGTTCGTCATCAGGATCGTCTCCCACCTGAAGACGATTGCTTGCGTGGCGATCGAAACGTCGTGCTCTATTATTTTTTCTACCCACGTGACTTTACTGAAAGAACCAAAGAGTATGGATTCCTGCAGTCACGAAAGCTTCAAATCAAGATTACAAGCGTTCGGCTTGTGTTGCGATCGAAACGTCATGATAATTATTTTATTATGTTTTATTTGTATTATTTTATTATTTACATTCTACGTGACTTTACCGAAAGAACCAAAGAATATGAATTCCTGCAGTCACGAAAGCTTTAAGTCAATATTTGATATCGATTCTTCCAGCTCCTAACGCGTGCAGTCGAAAGGCGTGTGTCTGCAGCCGTTGCATGTGTTGACGGGGTTTCACGTGGTGCCTCTAGGCCTGAGAGCAGCGGCTGCTAGCCGTCGTGGACCACGGTCCACCAATAACATCGCTGACTCAATGAACACGACGCTCAAATCCTCGTGCGTGCGACGGTCCCGCGGGCCACTCGCCACGGCCGTGCGGACAACTCATCGTAGAATGGAATCGCGATCCTGAATCTTTACAAACCACCGATTTGCGTCGGAAGCGGAGAGGGACCATCGTACACAAGCGCGGAACCTGGCCCCTGGGATGCGTTCGTTTTCTCTCCAGGTAAAAAATGTTACACATCCAAACGCACCCATAAAAAGGAGTAAAATAACACAATAAAGTTATAATGGCACGCCCTGGAAAGGAAGGTTTTACTTGCACAAGAACAGTTAAAACAGTTACGGTTAGTGGCAACACTATTTTAGTGGCAATAAAATGTGCAAATGTTTACTCGTCTCCGTTGGTGACGTTAAGACGCCGAGAGCGTCTCTCCTTGCTAGGGGCGAGCCCACACACGGAGCCCGGAGCCCACGCACAGAGCACGGAGCACCTGGATGGAGGAACGGCGCCTGCAGCCACCCCCAGGCCACGCAACGAGGTTCTGGCACAAGCGTGAACACCACACTCCTGATAACAACAGCAGTAGTAGATCATAGAACACATTCCTGCGGAGGGAGCTGGTAGGAACGTTGGGTTGCTCGGTCAATGGCCAGGGTCAACGGCGGCGTGGTGTATTCCGCAAATATGCCCGACTGTGAGGGCGGGCACAAGCCGGCGTGAGTAGGTTAAACGTTGAGTTTTATAAGGGCACCACGGGGTGACCAGCCCCTCCCCACCCAGCCCCACCCCCCCACCCAGCCCCTCCCCACCCTCCCCACCCAGCCCCTCCCCACCCTCCCCACCCAGCCCCTCCCCTCTCTACCCAGCCCCACCCCTCCCATTTGTTGATGCACGACGGACACAATAATCCCCTGTGGGCTGGTGTAACCAGGAGGTTCCTACCAGTATAACGGGGACAGCCCTGGCGGAGGGGCCTCCACTGGAGGGAGCTCTGGAGAGCCCCATCCAGGAGGGTGTTTGGCCTACTCTTCCACGCTGGCTGGACATCTTGCAAGTGGTGGTGATGATGATGATGGTGATGGTATAATAATAAACACAAAAAGGTGTTTGAGACACCATAAGCACGACGAGAAGTCCCAACATGCTTTGCATGGCAAGATGCTGTCCAAATATTCTGCACGCAAGTTGCAGCAGCCACGTGCCCAAAAGAGCTGAAAGTTTCGAGCTTTGTTTTCGGCGGAAACATGACAACGAAGCAGCTCCGTACCGTTTCCGTCCTTGCGAGGACTCGTCAGTACGGAATAGCCATCGTCGCCTACTGCCGCCTTGAATGGCCGAGGGAGTCGTGCCACGCAGCTCTCACCCAACACGGCGCGGTACGGAAGCTCCCGGGCTGTCTGCAGCACACAGACAACAGCCACCAGCCAGAGGAGCGCACGACGCCGGCCTGAGACGGCGTGACAACTACGCAAGCAGGAGCCGCAGGCAGTGAGCGTTCTCCTGGTCGTCTCACTGGGTGTTCTGTCGTGCACACACATAGCTTGTGTGTACACACATGCCCTGCACGCACACACACATAGCCCGTGTGCACACACACCCATACTAAAACCCGTCATTCGTCACTAAGTGACGGTGACATCACCACGGCGCCTGTGCCAGGCCAGGTGCACTTTGAGGCAGCGTGAAGTGTCGAAGGCTCGCTGACAGAAGGTCTCGGGATAGGCCTCGGTGCCATGGGTTGGCTGATTGAGATGACTGGCAGATGCACCAGCTGTACCCCCTACTTGGCGTACACACACCCTGGCATACGCACACCCTGGCGTACGCACACCCTGGCATACGCACACCCTGGCGTACGCACACCCTGGCATACGCACACCCTGGCGAGCGCTGCGTCCTTGCGCAGTACCTGGCGGAGGATTGCTACTGCCGTCTCGCGAGACGCCGAAAGGGAGAAAGCAAAATTATTAGGCGACTTAAATTAGCTTGACATTCAATATTATTTGTTAAACGATTTGTTTTGCAAATAATAAATAGCGACTTGGATAAATACCACGTTGCCTAACTTTCTCCCACCTCAACGTGAGAAGTTCACAACTCGGACACACAGGGCGGGAATATAAACGGTAAATGGCACTCCGTAACTACAAGCCACTATAGTTACAGTCGCTCACACGCGGACACTCTCGTGCTACGCCAGAGTGCGTTTAGTGATTGGCTATTGTGCATTTGCATTGTTAATAACACAGAATGTATAAAAGGTAAGAAACACACTCTTCCGTCACAGTATCACTCACTTAGCTGCAATGCAACTGTACATAAATAGCGACTCAGTGCTGTGGCAAAAGGCTTTGCTGCGGAATTACTTAAGTTCTTGAATCAAGCGCCAGGGCCCAAACCTGCCCTGCCACCGGCACAATCCTAGCCGTGCCAGCGTGGGGCTACCACAGTGTGGGTGGTTTTCCACTGGCTATTTGCCGAGCCGAGCCGGAACCAAACTGCGATTCACTGGCCGCGCAGGACATTTGAATCCTGCTGGTTTGCCGAACAGGGCCAGGCACGGGGTTAATCGTTTCCCTCATCCTCGTTCATCGCGTGGTGCGACGACGCGAGTGGCAGCACACCGCGGGATCTGCGGTGAGCAATAAACTTCACGCCTCCTGAGCCCCTGGCGCCCGGCCGGTTCGTCATGGCCCCAGCACCAGCGCCGCTCGGTTATGCAGTGGAAACATAGGTATGAACTCAGTACTGGTGCTTATTTTAAGGCGCCATCTGGCACTGTCACTTTGTGCTGCTGCCGCTGCCGCCGTCAAAGGCAGACTTTTTATTTATTTTCAGTGCCAAGTTAAAAATCAGCGGCCGGTGTTCTCAGAAGGGGACGGTGTCGGGCTCGGGCCCCCAGAGCCTCGCCACCGCGCCGGCACGCACGCGGCACCGGGAAGCAGATCGCTCGCCAAGACCCGGAGGGCCATGGATACCGGCACTCCGCGTTCCGGGATGCGGCAGCGAGGGGCACGGCCGTGGCGCGTCAGTCCTTGTGCAGCGTTTGGTGCAGGTGAAGGTAGAGAGGTTTCTTGGTCAGAAGGGTGAGCTTCCTCCTCTTGAAGTCCGTTGGTTTTTTGTACCTGGAGACAAACATCGCAAACAACATTACAATGTGCGCCCTCTACTGCTGCCCCCACACTCAGGAACTCCCTTCCCCCAGCCATCTGTGCCGTCGACTACCTACCCATGTTCAAGTCCAGGTTCAATGCCTTCCTTTGTTCCTCTGCCTATCACTGATGGAATAAATACGCAGCCTGTTTCTGTGCAGAGTGGTTCATACACAACATAAAACATACCTTACATACACACAACACACGAATACACAACACGACATAAATAACACACAACACACTGACGCACAACATGGAACGCAAATGCCTCTTTTAACGCCTGAGCGGTTTGCGTGGATGGCGAGCCCGGCACTCACAGCTCAATGACGACAGGGCCCGGCTTGATCTCGTCCATTTCCATGAAGGCGAAGCACTTGGTGCTGGTGAAGTGCTTCTTCGGCTTGTAGTGCTTGAACTCAAAGAAGATGGCAGCGCCTGTCACGTAGAAGAATGTCGGTGGGGAGGTTGACAGGAACTGGTTAAGACGAAACTTTTTATTTATTTTTTACAACCAGGCAATGCCCACTGAGCTATGGGCTCTGATTGAGAGGTGACCTATCCTCATTTGATGATAGCTCATCGAGGTGGCTGATATCATCATCACACGTGGGCATTTATAGCAGCAGTCAAATGATCTAAATGCGTATTTCTAAATGGGGAGGGCAGAACCGGAGGTTCCGGAGAAAAAGCAACGCGACCACCACGGGGACGGGAGAACACAAATTCCCAATAAAAAAACAGGCATCACCAGGGTCCGGGATCGAACCCACGACCTTCCTGTTTGCCAGCCAATGGAGATAACATCTCGCCACCGCCCAATGTTCAGCTCTTTGTTTACGTTTCATTTGCTGTGGTCACGTTGGTGCAGGTGACGACATTACGAGCATCTTCTTTGCTGATCACAACACCAATTTAGTTGTGTGTTGTTCAAGGATCTATAATCATCAGCCATGGTCAATCCACTGCTGGATGAAGGCCTGCCCAAGCCGTCGCTATCTCGCTGTCATGTGACGAGACAATCCATCCAGCGCGTGCACACGAGGTGCCGACTCCATCGCTCCGTCTCCGTGGTGGACGTCCTCTGGGCATTACACAAAGCAACATGGCTCCTACTGTCAGACTACTCCAGACTGTGTCTATGACCCCAGCAGCGCCTTGGTAATGGCTTTGCACTATAAGAATGGTGGGAATACCAAAAATGCTAAAATATTAATTATTGCACCTTAACCAGCCGGGTGCCTCATTAGTAAAGTGAGCGGTTCGCAATTTGAAAGATACAAGTTCAAATCCTGGCTGGGGGTTGACTCATCATCCCTCCGAGGTCGATAAAATTAGTACCACTTTGTGGGGAAGTCAACAGTGGTTGCTCAAAGGAGAGACTCGGCCCTCCACCATAGGAATGTGTAATTTACACCCCGCTGGTCGTTCGACGTTGAACCCCTTGCGGAGCGGTGCGAGCGTCACCCTTGGGCAGCTGCTCCACGTGCTTCTGAATCTCGACGTCCGTGCCAAAGTGGACGAAGGTGTCCTCCTTCCTGGAGGCCACCGGCGTGTCCTGCACGGGGCTCAGCTCCACGGCGCTCGCGTCTGCGGGCGAGAGAGGCCGGGCACGGTCGGCGAGCACGTCCGGGGCCCGCGGCGTGACCTTCTAAAGCAGCGGTTCTCAACCGGGGGTACGCAGACCCCTAGGGGTGTGTGGCAATGTACCAGGGGGCATGTGAGGTGAGTTATAAATGTGTAAAACTATATCATCCGTGAGTCATTGGGGAATAGTCGTGTACAAATCTGCCTAATATAAAATGGCCTACGATAACATTATAATCCGTATGGTAACCCTAGAACTATGTAAAATACCTTTATAAACTCCTTGATCGTAAACAATGGGGTTTCCAAGAGTAACCAGCTAGCGTAAACAAATGACGTCACGCGCGTAAACAAATGACGTCATGCGTGCAGAGCAGTCCGCTGACATTGTTTTATTCGCTTGCAGTTACTAGCAGCTAGTTAGAATATACCTTCTTGGTTCTTTCGGTGAAAGTCACGTAGAAGGGAAAGAATGAAATAATTATTTCATTATTAATTTGTATTCTTTTATTATTTCCCTTATACGTGACTTTACCGAAAGAACCAAGAAGATGAATCCCTGCAGTCACGAAAGCTTTAAATCGAAATTTAGTTAGAATACCTCACAAAATGGACAATTGGTTACAATGTTGATGTTCATTATTCGTACATTCATTTCTCAGAACCATGTTGGCTCAGGCAAGCGACTGCTCAGTTGAAATAAAAATTCAACCGCGCAGTAGCTAAAAAAAACTACAGTAGCCATACAAGGTTTAAAACCACTGTACTAAAGCATAACATTGCGCTGAAAAGCAATCGGTCGACGAGCTAAAAGATACTTACCCTTAAAAGGAGGAGGCGTACATAACTCAGGAGGGAGCACGACACGGCCAACGTTAAACAAACTTCGTGAAACACTTAAAACGGAACGCGGAACGGTACGACATGGTTGTGCCTGCCTGGCGTTCTGCCGTAGCCCTCACCCCATGTGTGTACGACAATCGTTTTGTCCGGCCTCCACCAACTATCGCAGGCAATTTGTCTATCGTCTCGCGAAGCTTGATCATGAACAGGACACCATGGCAGATGAGTCAGTGTGTGCGTGGCACTGGCCACCTTGCCCCTTTCGTGTGCCGTGCCGGCCTTCATAGGTGCTTGCTAACAGCACTTGCCCCAAGAGTCTGCTGAAGGCTATATGGGGGAACTTTGATGTTGTTGTGTGAGCCATCATCACAATGGTTGGAGCCGACGTGGACGGCCACGGGAACGTTTTATTCGTGACTCTGGGTGCTCGCCGAACTGGAGAACTTTAAAGGAAAAAAACGCCACCTGTGTTAAGCATTCTATTTCTTTCTTGATTTGAAGCTTTCGTGACTGCAGGAATCCATACTCTTTGGTTCTTTCGGTCAAGTCACGTAGCTATCAAATTAAATAAATCACGACGTTTCGATCGCAACACCAGCGGTCGTCCTTAGGCAGTAAAAAAATATAATCCAGCAGTGGATTATATTTCTTGACTTGATAATGTATAAGGGGGGCTAAGCCCTCAACAGAGGTGGACTCTGCCCCCTTCAGCTCCCCGACGCTACAGGGCTTGCACACACGCACAGGCGGCTGAATCTGCGAGGTGTTCGCATGGAGAGCTTGCGGATATGATAGACGTCCAACTGTCGTGCAGGGCACACTTCTTACATGCAGGCGTGACATCGTACTGGAAGAGTTTTCGAGAAATAAACAACGCGCGGGCAACGGCGGGCGGAATAAGAAAACGTATTAAAGTACGCAGGCTTCCTTCAGGACTAAGCTTCGCTTTTCCAAGCAAAATATACAAACGCAACAAGGAATGTAGAACGCCCCTTCACACATTTGTGGCCGTGTTGAAGAATGTGTGATGTCATAGCCAAACAGTTTATACTTGCTGCCGAGTGAAGCCTTCCTCTGCTAATGCCTTAAACAAGTATACATTCGGAGTGCAACGACACATTAATATCAGTTCTTGAACTCAAGATGAAGATGCTCGCATATAATTGCATGGGTAATAATTCACGTATATTAGGTGAATGTGGATTGCATCTAAACCCCGCCAAGGTGGCTCAGTGGTAGAGCGAGCGGCTCGCAATTCGGAAAGTTGCGAGTTGAAAAAATGTTTGGGGGTTGACTCGGGCCCATCATCCCTCTGAGGTCATTAAAATATTTACCACTTTGTGGAGCAATCAACAGTGGTTGTTCTACAGGTAGATTATCCCCTGCTTTATGAATGAAACATTTCCATCACTGGCCCCGTCAACAGGCGATGAGCACCCCTTTTGATGCTCATTTGACGTGAAAATTACTTTGCATTTTGTAATATAGTTTACGTGTGGGGAGCGGTGGCGCAGTAGTTGGCGCACTGCGCTATCAACCCTGTAACCCGAGTTTAATTCCTCACCCTGGCGAAGATGAGTGGCGAGTGATATTCCGAACCGTTTCTTTATTTTCCCCGTTCACCAACCCATGCCAACCGGTACGGCCAAAGTGAAGTGAGGGAGCTACCGTGCGGGACGCTGGTACCTTTGACGCTCACGGTGATGTACGGGTCGATGCACTGCCCTGCGTCCTTCAGGCCGATCTTGTCGATGCGGATCGTCAGCAGGGTCATGCCGGGCTCAGAGGGCAGGCGGGGCAGCAGCGTGCCTGTGGAGCGGAGGGCATCAGTGTTAGGGGCGCTCTCCAGAGCAATCCAAACATTTTCCGTGCTCAATTTCTCAGGATGCTTTCAAAACAGCAGCAGCCCCCGCATCCTGCCCACCCCCCCCCGCATGTCCAGCGTGACGCGGCTGATGGTGCCTATGATGTCACCAAGTCTGGCTCATCACCTCCCATCCAGCAGCGCAGGTCGCAAAAAGAGGTTATCGTTTTTATTATAACCGTTTTCGCGTTATCTAATTCGTGGAGTAATGGAACCCATAATCGGTAGAGTGGTGTCGTAAAGCGTGGGCCGCCAACGACATGCCAACGTTCGACTCGACCCTCGGTGAGGAAAAGATTCTATACTCCTGATCTACTATCAATGATGAGCAACAGAATACGGGTTTGACGGCGATAATGATGATGACAAAGACAATGATGATGATGCGAAAGCGCGCTTGTTATGCCTCAACAAGCCCATCGTCGCACATGCCATTACCGGACGGACGGGCGTTGAAGACGTGGGAGGTGACGCCGCCAGCTGCTCCCACCGCGCCGTCCTCCTCCTCCTCCTCACCCACATCGAGACTCTGTTCCTCACCAGGAGCCAGGAGCCTCCTGCAGGGTGGAGTGAGAGACATCGCATTCGCTACACCTGCTGGAGCCCACCCCATAACTCAGTGGTGATGGGCGTGTGCACAAGACCGATGGCGCAGATATCGGATGTGCAGGTGGTGCAATTGCACCGGGGCCCACGACAGGCCAGAAGAGGGCCCAGGATACTAGAAGAAGGCCCAGGTACCGCAAGAGGGCCCAGGATACTAGAAGAAGGCTCAGGTACCGTAAGAGGGCCCAGGATACTAGAAGAAGGCTCAGGTACCACAAGAGGGCCCAGGATACTAGAAGAAGGCTCAGGTACCACAAGAGGGCCCAGGATACTAGAAGAAGGCTCAGGTACCACAAGAGGGCCCAGGATACTAGAAGAAGGCTCAGGTACCGTAAGAGGGCCCAGGATACTAGAAGAAGGCCCAGGTACCGCAAGAGGGCTCAGGATACTAGAAGAAGGCTCAGGTACCACAAGAGGGCCCAGGATACTAGAAGAAGGCTCAGGTACCACAAGAGGGCCCAGGATACTAGAAGAAGGCTCAGGTACCGCAAGAGGGCCCTGATACCAGAAGAAGGCCCAGGTCCCAGAAGAGGGCTCGGTTACCAAAAGAAGGCCCCGGTTACCGGGCCTACTAATAGGGAAGGTAGGGGAATTATAAATTATGCAAGGGGCCCAATTTAAGTCCTTGCAGCAGGGCCGATGCCAACCGTGCTAGGCCACTCCACATGGTGAACAAATTCAAATCAGCGAGTTGCTGCATTGCATGAGAAATGGATTTTCTTCATGAGCTTGCATCCGCACCTCCGATTATGACGATTGGCTACGTACGATGTGAAAGAAGTTCAACATACATACGCACAGTTTATTTTTTCAAATCTGCGTCAAACACACCCATAAAACTATTTCAAACATCTTACGTGAATCTGAATTTAAAAAATAGTGATTTTATTGGCAGTGTTGTACAACCAGAAAAAAAATGGCTCATCATCTCCATCATAAACAGAGATGACTCGTTTGACTTTCCCTTCACTACGAAGCGTGTTAATTTGCATCGTATCGTCACCGTTGTCTAGTTCGTACCTCTGCACAGCAGTCCCCCACTGCCTATCTCCGCAATGTGCGCACCGCCACCCCCACTGTTTGTTTGGACAGCATATGAATCAAAAAAGCATCATATATATTGTGCAGTAGGGAGCTCATTTGGTCAATGCGCTATGAACCCATCGACCTAAGTTTAATTTCTGGCCAAGGCTGATGCCAGTAGAAAATGATTTCTGAACCGGACCTGGGTCCTGTGCACTTTAAACGACCCGCACTGACCAGCATGGTGTAGTATTATCATACTAAACCCCAACCACTGACATTGTGTAGAGGCCTTCATTCAGCAGTGGGAAAAAATTATAATAGTAATAAAAGTGTTATAGGCCGTATCGAGCAAATGGCCCCACTGCAAGGCCAACTGCTGCCACACTGCCGGAAGGTTGCGTTTCACCACAACTTACTCTCGCTCACCAGCGTGGCTTCGCAGCCCACTGCAGGGCACCCGCATAAAATTACGAGCCAGACACAGAGGGAAAAACATCACAGGAAAGGAGCAGGCTGAAAACAGGAAGTGCTACAAACAAAAACGGTGGCCAGACGGCCTCGCCCGGCCCGCGCAGGATTGGGTGTGGGCACCGTGCTCCCCGGGGTCCCCTCGCACACAAAAGGCAGCGACCATCCGGAGCACGCCGGCGACGGGGCACCGTCACAACACGGATGCGGCGCAGGGCATGCCAGCCAGTCCGTAGGCCGGCCGGCCAGCTCGTGGCCCCCGCTCCGTTCAGTCGCTCGGTCGGCTAGCGAGCTTGTCCCCGCAAATTATTTGTCGAGCCGTGAAATTGTGACGCATCCTCAGCAGGTGTGGGACTCATCTTCTTGGTTCTTTTGGTAAAGTCACGTAGAAGGGAAGTAATTAAATAATAATTATTTTACATAATAAAATAATTCTCACGACGTTTCGGCCACAACGCAAGCAGCCGTCCTCAGGTGAAGAACAGGTCTGTCGGAAAGACAGCGTCATTCAGACCATACTTCACCACTTTCCGACAGACCTGTTCTTCACCTGAGGATGGCTGCTTGCGTTGTGGCCGAAACGTCGTGAGAATTGTATTTTATTATGTTTTATTTTTATTATTATTTCCCTTCTACGTGACTTTACCGAAAGAACCAAGAAGATGAATCCCTGCAATCACGAAAGCTTTAAATCTAAAAAACAGGTGTGGGACGTCGACGCGCCCAGAACGGCATGACTCGTTACCTTTGGGGCAGGGGCTGAACATCAAATGGGAATTCTTTGTTGTACGTGAGAATATTCTTTATTACTGTGAAAAGAGAAAAAAAAAAGTAATGAATGTAACTTGAAAAGGAGGGTTCATTCATATCACAGTGGCGTGACTGTGTTGCTATGAACACAGTAATTTAAAGTTATGACTTAGATACAGGGAAACAGTGACGAGTGCATTGCACTATGAACCCGGAGATCTGAGTCTGCTTCCCAGCAAGGGATAACGCCAGCTGTTAGTGATATCTGAACTGGTCCTGGTCTCCCCATTCACTACCCGCACTACCCAGTGTGGTGAAGTATGGCAAACAACCCCCCATCTGGCACAGTTCCTTATATGATTATCAGCGATGACCAATCCATTGCTGGATAAATATCATTAATGTAGTATCCTGTGAGAATAAAATGCACCGTGGCCAAAAGGGGAATAAACAGCACTCACCTGGTTCCAGTTGCTTCAAATCTTCGAGTGGAAATTCTTCATTTGATTGTGTGGTCTAAAAGAGTACAACAATATCTATGAAGTTATTTGTATACCAAAGAAAAGTATCTTGAGATAATAAATAACAATAATAATACATGTATTTTACATTAAATCATAGTCGTTTACACATTGTACATATATTATTTTTCACGGTTTACATTTTCAGCGCAAAGAATACAATGCAGTGAGTCACTTTAAGTAGAAACAGAATGGTTTGTGTCGTCATAAACTTACTGCAGGATTACGGACTCGTATAGAGTACAGCGTAGAGTATAGAAGTACAGGGTCTAGTACAGAAGTGCAGGGTAGAGCACAGAAGTACAGGGTCGAGTACAGAAGTACAGGGTAGGGTATAGAAGTACAGGGTAGAGTATAGAAGTACAGGGTAGGATATAGAAGTACAGGGTAGGGTACAGAAGTACAGGGTCTAGTACAGAAGTACAGGGTCGGGTATACAAGTACAGGGTAGGGTACAGAAGTACAGGGCAGAGTATAGAAGTACAGGGTAGGGTATAGAAGTACAGGGTAGGGCATAAGAAGTACAGGGTAGGGTAGAGTAGTACAGGGTAGGGTATAGAAGTACAGGGTAGGGTATAAGAAGTACAGGGCAGAGCACAGAAGTACAGGGTAGAGTATAAGAAGTACAGGGTAGGGTACAGAAGTACAGGGTAGGGTACAGTACCTGCAGAGACTGACTCCGCACCTCCAGGCAGGCGGCAATCTTCCCCAGGATTTTCTGAAGAAAATTAAAAACACGATTCAAGATGGACAGGAATCATAATAATTGTCAAATACTTACCTAGGAAAGTCTCATCGAGTCTCAAGGCTCTTTTGCAAGAGGGTCTTGTTTTAACCTTGAGAGCCAATTTAATAGTATTAATGAGTGTTCATTAAGTGGGATGAAACCAGAGCAACCGGAGAAAACACAAATAAGAGTGGATAACACCCAACATACAATGCAAGCCTTGTGATGCAAGTCCCCCATGTAAGTCGCGTATCGTAAAAAACAACTTCATACAAAGACTACAGCAGACTAGATGCCCTGTTAAACAATATATCACCATTGGCACAGAGAATATAAACAGTTAACAGTGTTATAGAAACCTCAAGCCAATTGTTCCCTTCGTTTCTCATGTAAAGCAGTACGCTTTAAGCACAAACAACGTCATTCCAGGTGTTTTATGCAATCAGTCACTGGTCCACAAGTGCCCCTTGCAGAGCGGCCAACTCCGCTTGGTGCACACCCATGTTTATTAACGAGCGGTGCCTCTGCCAAGCTTGTTTTGGAGGCCTGCTGAGCTCTGTCGGTGGTCTGTCCAGGAAATAATTCAGTTTTAAGCCCCCTTCGTTGGCGTTACGCATTGCCGCAGGGACCTCGGCCTTTTGGTGTTGCGAACCCGGCGGTTTGGTCTGTCACGTACAGATCAGCCTTTGGTCAATCCACTGCTGGATGAGGGCCTTCTTATGCCGTCGTGGGGGCTATTTGATCAACTTGCACTGACGCTGGTCAGTGCAGGTTGGTTGAAAGCGGGATACATAAACGTGGGGGCATAAAAGTACACTGCCCACAAAGGGTCTGTGTGACTCGAGTGATTAATAAATAAATCTACCCTTTCCTCGGGGGCAGGGCAGTCTATAGGGGGCCCGGAGCAAATCTCACCATGTGGGCCCCCCGACGCCTTCAAACAAAAGCTGAAGTATTACTTCTGGCACCGTGACGTCGAAACGCGGGGTCCCCCAAATCACGGAGCCCGGTGTAACAGGCTAAAATAACCCCTGCCCCGATTAAACCCAGGTATAGTTTGGCCCAGGCCAGAGTATACCCAGGGGGATAAAGTGTCCTAGGCTAAACTATACCCCCCAGGGGTTTAAACTCGACTGGGCCAGACCATACCCCACCAGGCCAGAACATGCCCCATGTGAAAGTTCAAACGAACTTCAAGCGATATCTAAAAAGCGTATATATGGAAGCAAGAATCTCAATTTGATCAATTGAAGCATTTTTAGGGTTAGGGTTATTATTAAAGTTTTTCTGGTTGAAGCAATCAAAGTCTATGTGTTTACAGTTTTAAATAAAATGTTGGAAAAATTTAGTAATTCACGTGTATATCCCTCAACACTATTACTATAATGGGGGTATGATTTGGCCTAAAGGGGCATAATTTGGCCTAGGCCATAATATACCCCAGAGTATAAATTGGCCTAGGCCATAAAACACACGGGTATAATCTAGCCAGGGCCGTTTTAACCCCGGGTATACTACGGCCTGTGGGTATACTCCGGCCTGTTACACCGGGGCGGTCGCCCAGATTCGCCGTACCCCAGGGATGGCTCTGATCAGGGGCATCTTACAGCAATCGGCAACTGTTCTGAAACCAATGAAAGGGCAGCACCCTACACAGGCATCTGTGTTTAGTTATTGTATCCACAGAAAGCTTCCAACTACAGCCAGTGACCAAATTGCCCAGAATGCACCCGATCTTAAGCTCAGCAGGCTTGAGCTTGGACAGCTCTTGACTGAGTGACCGACGTGCATGAACAGGTTGTGATAGGCGGTTGCAGAGTTGCACTGCGTGCTGGTCAACAGAGGGCAGTGCAGCTAAATACATTTGTTATATGGTTCTTCTAAGTTCCCACGTCTATATTGCATGCATTCACCCCCCCCAATGATCTGTGTGGTAAAATATGATCGATCACACGTACACACATTACGTGCTCATGCAGTAGGCCTTCAAACTTGTGGAGACAGCTTGAATTATACAAAATGAAACGCACAATATAAATGAGACAATATGCAAGACGGACAATACACCTCGCGAAGAACAAGACCGAACATGTGTGACCGATCAATACAAATGAGACAGAACGTAGGAATCCAGATGCTGAAAACCCATCCTGCAGTTGAGAATCCTCATACCTTCTGGTCTTCAGTGAATCCTGAGCAGTTTGGCGGTGACTGTGCCTCTTTGAGAAGCTGCCTGGCAAGGCTGCAAGCACGAGACAGTCAACACGGGAAGCAATGGCATCAGTCCCTGCAGTCGCTGCATCACAAACCTCCTATCGAGTAGAGTATCAACAACACAATGCACAACACATCACCGCACTGATGATGATGATAATGACGACGATGATGGGAATGGAATTCGATTTTTAATTAAACAGGATGGGAGTTATTTGAAATGAGTTATGTTCAATCAAATTGTGGTTATCCAGGAAGTTATATTTGTACATGCAAATCACGGTGTATCACTCAACTTTAAAAGTGGGTTGTGATGCAGGAATATTCTTCACGTGTGAATAATTACTGATTGTTGAGTTATTTTGTGATAGTGATTACTTGTGGACAGGATGATTCTGTACTTTGTGATTGTGACTCCTGATGGACAGGATAATTCTGTATTTCTGTATTTTTCTATGGACAGTCTCAACGAGTCTCAGGACACGAATCTAGGGGGGGGGGGGGGGTCCTGCATTGAGGCACAGTATTTGATCAGTTCCTTTATTAAGAAACAAACACTTCTGTTCACGATGTTATTCTAGTGGATGGTGAATATGATCGACACAATGATGCTGTTGATGATTGCTATTGCTGAACTTTATGATAATGATGAGGTCGATGACTGCTTTGATTTCTGATTACTGATTGTTGATGATGTTGAAGATTTCTGCTGATGATTTTGGCTCATGATTATTGCCTATTTTTAGTAACTATGATGATTGCTGTTAATATTGATTCACATTGCTGTTGATTTCAAGGTGTGATTATGACATTGATTGCTGTGGATGACTTGATTGTGACCATGATGATGATTAACTGTTGACTATATGTATTATCATACATATATATTCTTGGTAAGACCAAGAATATGAATCCCTGCAGTCACGAAAGCTTTAAATCAAAATGTATCATACATATAGTCAACAGACTGATTACATCTGATGATGGATGCAAAGTATTTCTGTAAATTACTTTTAACTGTTGTTGACATGACTGCTACAGACCATCCCTAGTAACCGCACTTAAAGTCAATTACCTATGCTACGTATGTGTTGAGTTTTTATGTTGAATGTGTGGAGTTAATTGTGTTCTTGTTGTTATTATTACTTGTGTTATTCGTGCTTGTGCACCGCTACAAACGCAGTGTCACCTTGTAATTTAATAGGTAACTATTCCAATAGAAACTTACAAGTGTTCATCAGGAATCATTTAAATGTTTAATTCTTATCGGGCACTCTGATGTAAAGTGCAGACTCGAAATCTTCTCCACTCTATCTCCTTGACCTCTCTATGCGTGTCCTATGAAGAAGGGCCATTCCTTAAGACGTCGTCCTGTTATATCAGTTTTCCTTTCATGACAAATATGTTAAGTTTCGTGGCTATTTATGCTCCTTGTACTGGACTCAAAGGACACCTGCATACGAGATATTCCATCAGAGGCGATTATACAAGCAAAACATTTTCATAAATATGTGTAGTACTGAAGATGATGATAACGATGTTGACTTCGTACCATTGCCATCATTGTGATAACGACAAATGAATGAACTCCCCACCCTATAATTCACACACACCAATGCCCCCCCATCTCACACTCACACACGGCTACATCCATCTACACCTCATCCCAGTGTGTGTGTATAGGCATCAGACCCCAGCGAGATCCACACAACCTGCACAGCATCACCGCACTCACATCATGTACTCGTCCACCGCCTCCACCAGCTGACCCCACGAGTCGAAATCCGTTGCTTTTCCAAAGCTGCCATGCCACTTCACCACCAGCTTTCCGATGTCGCCCATCCTGACTTGACACCACGGGGGCTGCAGAGATGCGCACAGGAGAATCGGGCGACAGGAGGAGCTCGGTCGAGCGAAGAGGTCTGGGATGTGGGAGCAAGAAGGATGGGGGAGAACGAGGAGGAGGAGGATGATGGATGGAAGAGCCCGGCAGAGTGGAATTCCACGCCTGCTCGGCCGAGGAGAGCAGTGCGGAGTGGAGCAGAGCGGGTTGCATCGGGCGGAGTTACTCTGAGCACTGCTTGCGTCTTAAGGATGATTTGAAACCTGGCACACACGTGGATAGGCACCAGACGCTGTCTCCCCGACAGACCTGGTACTTCACCCTGAGGACGGCTGCTTGCGTTGTGGCCGAAACGTCGTGAGAATTATTTGATTATGTTTTATTTTTATTATTTTATTACTTCCCTTCTACGTGACTTTACCGAAAGAACCAAGAAGATGAATCCCTGCAGTCACGAAAGCTTTAAATCGAAATTTATAGGCACCATAGCGTTTGATAAATGTTATATATATGTTAAAATATGAATATTACGGAACTTTGTCAATTCACTGCTTAATTAAAGACTCCCCCACGCCACGTCGCTCATGGAGTTGACCATACTTCACCACTCTGGATGGTGAAGTGGAGGGGGGTGCAAGGATCGGTTTTGATGTCACTCCCAACTGATGTTAGCCGTGATCGGGAATCGAACTCTGATGGCATTGTTCTAATACTAAAGCATGAATAATGAAATTAGCGTTGCTCATTCTGTTGCCGGTTCAGACACTGGGAAATTCCACTTTCGCATGACGAGACCATGTACTGAGCTATTTCCATAGGGTGGACCATGTTGATTGTTCACAATGTGGTGACTGTTGTATCGGCCCTGAAGAGATGATATGCTGAGCCGACCCACGTCCGATAATTATTGAACTTGGACGTTTCAACCTACGATTACTTTCTCATGCCGCTGTTGGCTTTGTTGTGGTATCGTTTCTAAATTTGCTAATTTGGAAACCCCATTGATCTTTCCATCTCTTAATTACCCCTGATCCCAGGGGCTGGGTTTAAACCCCACTGCGATGTGAATGTGTTCATGGTAATTATTCCTCCGCACACAGCCAAGCTAAGCCCCCTCTGTCAACAGTGATACTGGGAATTCGTTTGCATTCATGAGAAAGATCGCCGGGGGGTAATGACAGTGCCCACTGCCCACTGCTTTGTGCTAAAATTAGTTTAAGTGCAGGTTAGGAGGGGAGTCCGTGGAGGCTGAGATGGAATCATGGTTTAATAAGCCTATGCTGATGAGATCCTAAAGGTCGAAACCGGTCCAGAGTTTGCTTGTGTGAACACATTCTGGATAGCATTGGTCTGGAATATCCATTAGTTTAATGGATTCCAACATATTTTGTGCATATATATTTTAACGGATGTCTTTATTTGAGAGGGGTTGAGTTTAAAGACTGGGACCACGATGAAAGACCTGAGTTTACATTGCGGCTCTTGGCACCACCCAAGCTGTACCACGACCACGAGGGTTCAATGGATGGCAGATGTTTGTTTAACGGTCAATTAACAGCTCACCGTGTAGCAGTGGCATTTCTTAGCAGCTTAAGAGCCTGGGAATTAAAGCTTTCCGGTGTAAATTACTGTGCACTTCTTTGATTACTCGAGGTAGCGTCGTGGCTGGTCTCACGATGCCAAAGATGTGTGGGATTTATAACCACAACTTTGAAATTATACGTCTGGATCATGATACCGTATAATACTGCAATACCTGCGTGCTCAATTATCACACCGTAAACAGTGCAGTGGTTCACTCTTGCATATGCTGTGCAAGTCATTAAGAAAAGTGAGCTGAATTCCCACTGCATCAGCATTTTTTAAGCAGATGAGTCGCATAGTAGTCTTGGACTCAAGGCAATGCTTCCTAACTTAAGAGCAAACAGTGCCTATACAATATTTATAACTACAGCAAGTCGGTGTACAACTTAACAATAAATTGATCCTCGCTAGTGTTTAAATAGTGTTTTGGCGAAAATGTATTATACAAATTACACAACTGACAGTTATCTAATGATTAATTTGGAGCTTTCGTGACTGCAGGAATTACTCTTTGGTTCTTTCGGTATTATTATTTTATCTTTATACGTGACTACCGAAAGAACCAAAGAGTTATCTAATGACTTAAATTGTCATATCAATACAACATAAGCACACCCAATATCAGTTCAATTTGTGTTTTAATTGAACAAAAAAACTGGCCATGTATTTGAATTGGGTTTAAAATGTTTAAAACGTAACATGAACAAAGCACATCCCAGCCTCTTTTACAAAGCTATCATGACATGTTCATGGTGAGAAATCTATCTCATGGGCAAAACAAACACGTGGACTTTTGATCTCCCTGCAACGGACAGGTGGGGCCGCGTCCTCCTTAACACGAGCCGCCCTCGGCTCGCCTCCCCATTGGCTGCCCGCGCGGCGCGTGCGCTCGATTCTTGTATCCGATTGGACAAGCGCAGGGCAGCGCTTCGTCACGGAAGCCAGCGGAAACGTCGTGGCTGCAGTACTCAGTATAGACTGTAGGTACAACAGACCGTATGTAATACTGCAAGTGTGCACCAAATTATTATCAATCGCTGCCTATTTGTTCCCCGCGGTTCCGTGTCTGTATGGCTGGAAGGTTTTGTGCATTTTTCTGGGAATGTGAGAATTATTTATTTTCATGAGTGACCATTTTCAATCCACCGCTGGATGGAAGCCTGCCCCATGCCCTGTCGGTCACGGGGTTTGTTTACCCACTTCTCCTGCACAATGGTCGGTGCGGGTTGGTGAGCAAGCCCAGGACAGGTTCAGATGTCACACTTAGCCACCGATGTTGACCAGGAATCATACTCATGGGTCCGAGTCCACGCCATAACGTGCCAAGCTATGTCCCACTAATCTGCATATTTCGGTAGACGAACCTCGAGTAGGAAGCATCTATTGGCTCAAATGAGCAATGGGTCAACGCTCATCCCCATTGTGGCTGTTGGTAATTCCACATTCTCATGGCGTGGTCCAGTACGGACCAGTCACTTTAATCGGCTAAATTAAAAGTACTGTATTCAATGCAGGGGCCTGACTGGGCGCACACACCAACACTAATGGTTCAACACTGTGCTTATTGATGGTGGAGCGGAAGTGATTAGCCCACTGCGCTAAAGGCCCATCAGAGATCGAGTCCCTCTCCTGGATAACGTAAGTGGCGAGCGACATCACAACCGGTACTTGTGCACCGCTTCACCAACTTGAAATGAACCAACCCGCAGTGACCATCGTGGTGAAGTATGGTCAAACAATATTGATTCGGGAGGCCTTCATCCAGCAGTGGATTGACGAGTTGTCAATACATGTAACTCCTGCATTAACGTGCCACTGTTGTGGTTGCGATGGTCGCTGTTGCCGAGGTTATTGTTGTTGTTGAGGTGGTTGTTGTCGTTTCATCGCAATTCGTGCTGCGCCACAGCGCCACACTCGGGGCCCGAATTCGCGTTCCGGGGCGCCGCGTCCTCGTGTGACCCTGACGGGTGATACCATCTCGCTACACACGGTAGGGGGGGGGGGGTACAGCCCGTTGCTATACAATGACAATCCCAGATTTGAAGCTTTCGTGACTGCAAGGATTCATATTCTTAGTTTTTTCGGTAAAGTCACGTAGGTAAAACATCAAAATTAATAAAAATAAAATAAAACAAAAATGTTATTTATTTTTATTAATTTTGATGTTTCACCTACGTGACTTTACCGAAAAAAACCTAAGAATATGACAATCCCAGATTTGAAGCTTTCGTGACTGCAATGATTCATACTCTTAGTTCTTTCGGTGAAGTCACGTAGGTAAAAAATTAAATACAAATTTAAAAAATTTAATTAATCATTGTTTTATTTTTATTAATTTTTATTTCATTTTTTACCTACGTGACTTTACCGAAATAACTAAGAGTACAATGACAATCCCCGCTACGAACGATTTAGCGGTGAAGTCAATGCCACCTCCAGCAGGGGGCCTTGGGGCCCGATCGGTTGTTTAATTCAGACTTTTAGTGAGATTTTCACTTTTTTTGTTAAAGGAGATATCGTCGAATTTTTTGAACAAGCAAAAAACAAATGCCAGTGTGGCCTTGAAAGGAAAATATCTATCTATCTTGGGCAACGGCCCTTTATAACAACACATCCATTGCCCGAATAATAACCAATTGTCCAAAATGTCGCCGATAATACAAGTTCAAGTTCATATATCAGGTAGAGCCCTGTGAGCCATTCGGCTCTTGAATCGGGTGCAACCGCAACAAAACAAAAACATGAACACATCTTAAAGTGACTATGTGACTAAGTGCAAACAGAAAATCCAAGAAAAGACAGCAAAATATTACAGAAAAAACACCGCAACACCAACGCTGTGTGCAAAAATCCCAGTGTTCCTTTTAACGCCAAACAAATTCTGAAACACGGACCGTCTTGACATGTACGCCTATTTGCGCTTTCACTCCACTGCCAGCAGCAAACAGCAGCAAACAGCAGCAGATTCACCGAATAATTCACCAATCTCAACACTTTCCCATCACCACCACCACTGCACCACCCCCCGCGCGTCGCGTCGCAATGGTTTGTCCCTGTCGGCCGGGGTCAAAGGGCGCTCCGTGGTGGCCGTGCCGCTTGTTTACGGGGGCGCGGGGCCGCCCATGGCGATGGCGCTGGCTCCGTGCGGCCATCGGGTGGACGCCTCCGCGCTCCCCTGCGAGATTATCGTGCACGTCCTCTCCTTCCTGCCGCCTCGGGACCGTCTCGCCGCCTCCTCCGTGTGCTCCCGCTGGCGGGCCTGCCTCTTCCAGCCGTCGCTGTGGCCCGCGCTGAGGCTGCGCGTTGGGGCAGCTACTGCTACTGCTGCTGCTGGTGGTGGTGGTGGTGCTACAAGTGTTGTTAGTGGAGGTGCTATCGGTGGTGGTGGTGGTGGTGATGATGCGCTTAGCGCCGCCACATTCTTGTCGGGGCGCTGCGGGTCGTTCGTCCGCGAATTCTCGCTCTCCTTTGAGCACTTGGCCCGCGGTGGCTTAGAGAGCTCGTCCTGGGACTGGGATGGTGGAGGTGGCAGTGGCGGCGGCGGCGGCGGCGATGGTGACGGTGGAAGTATCGGAGGCAATGCTGGGGCCAACACCATCAGCAACAACACAAACAACAACAACAGCAGCAGCGCCGCCGGTGGTGCTGGTGGTGCTGGTGGGTGCTGTTCCGTGACGGCGCTTCTGCAATCGCATGTGGATGGGGCTGCCGAGGTGCTGCGCTCTTTGAGGAACAACCGCAACCTCGAGCGCTTGGCCTTGCTCGGGGACAGCGTGATCGACGTGGCCGGCTCTCTGCAGCCCATAGCCGGCGGCACGGGACCATCGGCCGCCATCGACCCAGACGGGGAACGTACCGAGGAGTGAGTGATGTGGTTTGAGTGTGCCCCCCGCCCCCCCCCAAACACTGTCACTACCGCTATCACCAGCAACACTACGGCCACAATCAACAATACCCTTTTTGCTCCTGTCACAACTGCATTCACTACCACTGCAGTCGCCACCACGAGCACGAACGCCACTTTCACTACCAACTCTGCTAAGCACTACTAACATCAACCGCACAACCAAAACTTTAATAAACCACCATCACTGCAACCACAATTATTCGTATTCAATACTACTACCACCGCTAATCACAACCACCACCAGCACGGCTACACTACATTATTACCACAATCACCACAAGTACAATAAACTCCACCACTACCTCCCCCATCATTACCGTCATCACCATCTGTTAAAATTATTTGTTTACTTTGAAAAACGCCACTGGGTGTCATTACTCATTTTTAGGTGGGTCCCTCTTGAAATGTTTGGCCTTTTGCTATTCTCTTGCTGTGTTTTATGTGGGGAAACTCATCATGTGTGTCGTGGTCAATCGGCATTGCCCACACATCGCTACAAATAAGCCCCGGAATAATTTTCTCTTGCTCACTTTGAGCTGGCTGTTCGTCAATCCATCGGAAATCATCTATCCACTGCTGGATGAAGGTCTCAAGCCTTTGCAACTCGGTACTGCGATGTTATCCATCTAGCTCCTGCACACAAGCTAGTTTAAGATCCGCAGTGGATGTGCTCTCAGGCGTATTTACCATTTGATTGCCACGCCGATATTAGTCTTGACCACTAGCCATCATCTCTTCTGGTGATGTCCTGCCGAAGCCCATTTCTGCATCGATTACTAGTGCTAAAATTAAAGTTTTATAGTGAATATGAAACGATATCCGATGGTTTCACCATGCCAAACTATTCTACTCAAATATAACCTTGGCACTGGCCCTGATCTGCTCATTTACCATGTGCAAAGTTTATTTTTTTGTGGACATGGAGTAGTTTTGTTTTGAACATGATTTAGTCTATGGCCAAATCTCCCGGAATCTGTTCGATTTTGGAAACGAAGCTGTGTTGATCTTAAGTAGTGCTTTGTGGGTATCCAACATGAACCACCTGGGTGTCATGGGGCAACAGGACTGCGTAGTTGGCAAAAACAAATGTTAATACCCAGTGGAGCACAATACATTGTTATATTTTACTTCTCTGCTCCTCGCCTTCAACCCACAATGACCAGCGTGGTGCAGGATGGTAAAATATCTGTTGTGACTTGCACGGTGTTGGGAGGCCCTCGTCCAACAGTGGTCTGACAAAGGGACACATTTGAGCATGTTTTTCCCCACCCACAGACTACAGTCTCTGGTGCGTGAGATCCTGCGAAACTGCAAGCGCTTGCGCTCGTTGTCGCTGGCCTTCATGCTGGAGGTGGCCACGCCGGAGTTGCTGCCCTCGCTGCCAGAAACGAGCCTCGCGTCCCTGCGTCACCTCGCACTGCTCCGTCTCCACGGCGGCCGTCTCACGCCGGGCCCCGACGCGGACACGTCCGCCATACCGCTCCTCCGACCGCCGGAAGCCGGCCGCATGCGCAACCTGCGCTGCCTGGCGCTCGACCTGGCCGACTTCACGGCGGAGCTCGCGCAGGCCCTGGCGCGAAGGGCGGAGAGCCCTGGCGCCGTTCCTCTGGTCAGGATCTCGCTCCTCTTGCATAATCAGCATCCACGAGCTGGGAAGTCGCTCGAGAGCATGCCCCAGGTGGGTGTTTGTGGAAAATAATAAAGTGATTTGCTGAATAGAGTTCTGTGGTTGTGCTGTACAGCAATCCCATGTATTTTCAGTTCATGCTGTGTAATTTTTGGCTCGGTGTTTTGACGTTTCATTAGTTTAATGCACACAGTTTTGTACTGAAAGTTTCAGAATTCGTTTGTACAAGTGACAAATGACATTTCTCCACGTAGAGCTAAACTTGGTACAACCCAGAACAATCCACAAACACATCGGCTAACTATGCAAAGCCATTTTTCTTTCAAAGTCTTAAAATAAAATCCAAGCAGCCAAGGTCTTGCAAGAATGTAAACTTTAGCTTCCAATTGTAAACGTTGAATTATTCACATACCCTGACGAGTCTCAAGTAGCACTGATCTCTTTTGGTGGCTCTAAATCAGTTGTAGAAATTCCATATTTGTATTCTGATGATGGGCAGCATAAACTGTTCTAAGGGTGGATTAAAACTTATGTTCTTTTAGCCAGGCAATTGTGGCGCACACCTGTAATTCAGGACTAGAGGCAGCGAAGGTTGGTGGATCACACGCATTATGTGAAACTCCCTCCCAACGACATTGCGGTGCCAAACCCTGGCTTGCCAGCAATAGAGCAAAATGTGGACATCTTTCCCATTTGCATGAGATAGACTGTTGCCCCCTCACAAGCGAAGGTTTATATGCCCTGATTGTGATGTCTTTTTTCTATGGTGCAGTCATTGGTTACCCAGCTGAGACCATCAACCCACGCTTTACTCGAGAACTCAGATATACCACACGAATCCGTCTAGATTTGAACCCAGGATCTCGGCCGTGACAGGCTCAGCGCCGTGACCTCCGAACCACCTGTCGTCCTCTCGATGCCAAATTGTCTTTTTATCATCTCCCTCTAGGACAGCGACTGGTCTCTGCTGACAGCCGGAAACACGGCTCTGCGCGTCTACCTCCTGGCGGTGGGCGTTGGCAGCGACCTGCTGCTGCGAGTGCTTCGCCCCGCGCTGCCCCTCGAGCGCCTGCACCTGGACGGCTGCCCCGGCCTCTCGGCCGCCGTGCTCGACCTCGTGTCCCGCCAGTACGGCCGTACGCTGGCGCAGGCCGTGCTGGTGCGGGAGGCGTGCGAGCCGGCGTCCGCCTCTTCCATCACGCAGCTCTTTCCGGACCTGAGCGAGGGCCAGCATGAGGACCCGCTAGTGCTCCTCGCCTGGAAGTGCAACCGCCTGTCAAGGCTCACTATTCACGGTGAGTGGGCAACGCCGTCTAGGCGATGAGCGTCCTCGCAGTTCAATGGGGGCGGCAGGGTGGTGGCGCAGTCTTAACGCTTGAGCCTCGCAGCAAGAAAGGCCTGGGTTCGGTTCCCGACTCGGGCACCTTTCTTTGTGACAGTATGTTCTCCCCCCTATTCCTCCGTATTGTTAAGTTTTTTTTCCCCATTGCTAAAAATAACAATGTAAATGGTCTTCTTGGTTCTTTCGGTAAAGTCACGTAGAAGGGAAGCAATAAAATAATAAAAATAAAACATAATAAAATAAAATAATTCTCACGACGTTTCGGCCACAACGCAAGCAGCCGTCACCTGAGGACGGCTGCTTGCGTTGTGGCCGAAACGTCGTGAGAATTATTTTATTTTATTATGTTTTATTTTTATTATTTTATTGCTTCCCTTCTACGTGACTTTACCGAAAGAACCAAGAAGATGGATCCCTGCAGTCACGAAAGCTTTAAATCGAAATTTAATGTAAATGGTATTGGCCAAATATCCAAATTCTGAAAAGCTACCTGCAAACTACTCAATTTTCATTACAGTTAGCAACATTTCCTCCACATAAACTTGACAGGAATCCTGAAAAATTATTGAGCCTCAATGAGGCTTTCCTAGATAAACAAGCATAGTCGTAATAATGATAATAATTTGATTTATGGAGCGTCTAACTGCGACTACATTTTAAGATGCCGTACATCTCAAGAAGCAGTTGAGATATTTATTTTGGAGAGGAATAGGGAGTGATATAGGTCTCTACGTGAGTCTATGTCTTAGTATACATGTCTCTGAGTAGTGGGTGTCAATGTAGATCTCTGCAAGTCTATAAATACAATTACCATAAATGCGACTGCATCTCAAGACTTTGTACATCTCAGGAAGCAGTAATCATCTAATTTTATAGAGGGTCAGTCAGCCATAGGCAAAGGGAAAAAGGCAAGTGTAAGTGATTTGCAACGAAGCAAAGGTTTACTGGAGGCTTTGAGAGAGCCTTTGGTTGCTGAAGCATAGAGTGTGTTGAGGTGAGATGGGAGATTAGAGATAGGCTTGGAAGATGTTGAAAACAGTTTTTTTGGTCTTGGAATGGATTTGGTAGTGCTTACGTAGTGCTTGGTACTGGTTTGGGGGCAAGTGGAGGGATTTGAGTATTTGGATAATATGTTTTCATTTAAGGATGATGGTGACAAATCTGAAAGTAACATTTCGGATCAGGTGGAGTTTGGGGATAAGGGATGTGGGTGAGGCCATATTGGAGGGCCTTGCAATCTTTGAGTGGGGATGCGATGCCTGTGAGGATGAGGGTTTTGGCAGCGGCTGGGGCGAGGAGATGCCGAATTTGGGAGATGCTGCGCAGATGGAGGCATGAGGTCCTGGAGAGTTAGGAGATGTAAAAATAAACTCGTATTGCACTGAATTGTGGAAACCATGGAGGAAGAGGTGTATGGGGAGATTATAGGAAATAAACTTATCATATGCAATAGGTAAGTTTTTTTTATTGACAAACTTTAAAGCACTGCATTGGCAATGCTGCACAAGCATATGATCCAATCTGTAAATTAGGCAAAAACTCATAATAGAAACGTAGTGTAGGCCGAAACACCGTAAGTGTAAAAAACACAAATGTGTACAAAAGCACTCAGCCTTTGTGCATTATACAAAAACCATCAGCAGTTCCTGCAAAATTCCATAAAAATAAATGTGACCGACTGACAGGTAGCATGGAGACCGAGATAGACAATTTAGACTGGTTTCATATTTATTAGCACTCATCAGCACAGTATAGTAACCATTGCTCACTACTGCATAGTCTGCCTCCTGAGAAAGCACATACGTGGAGTCCCCATTTCCACATTATGGTTTTCCAGCCTGGGCTATTTTTGTGTTCTAGGTTTTTTCAATCATTTATGGATTTGATTTTTGTTGGCATAAGCCAAGCTAATGGGCTTCACAGTGTGAAAGTGAGGATTCTAAATCTTGGGTTTCCAGAGGCAGAGACTTAGCTGCAGTGAGCACTGGTGACTGTACTCTAATGATGAGTCCTAATAAGACTGAAACTGCTCCACAGTCGTCTCTGTCTCACTGCTGTCTGTCAGTTGGTCTCATTCACTCAAATGTATTTGTATTTGACCCAAGGCAAGAGGACCACAATGCAGTTCTTCAGGAACTGCTGGTGGTTTTTGCATGTTGCACAAAGGCTAAGTGATTTTTGCACATGTTTTTGTGTGTAGTTTGAAATGATCACGCATTAGCTCATTGAATTTTTATTTTCTGTCTTCAAGCTAATTATAAACTGATTGTAGGATAATTAGAAATGCACAAGAGGATCAATGCATGTTTTGCTGCTGAGCAATATTCCTCCAAGTTTCAACATAATAAACAATGCAAATATAAGTTGATTATTTCCCTCCCCACCGCGTATCGTATTGCCTGCCTACTGACGTGGATTCCCTGCATTTTCTGTGGCCGTAACTGACGCCCTTGGCGTACCTTGCGTTGCAATTGCAGGCTACGTGATGTGGGCCGACAACCTGGTGGCCATTGCGCGACTGCGCGGCGCTTGCCTGCGCGTGCTCGAAGTGACGGAGGAGAGCCTGGACTTTGACCCCGAGGCGTTCCTGCACGTGCAGATGGTGATCGGGGACCCCCCGGTGCTCACCACCACCACGCCCGCCACCGCGGGCTGCAGTCTCGACGTGATGGGGGCGCTGGTGGACGAGGTCTCCATGGCTCTTGGCAGGCCCTGGTCCCCCACGCCGCCGGAGCAGCGTCTCGACGTCTTCAACCAACCCACCTGGACCTTCTGCAGGGAGGTGGAGAGCTTTGGAGAGTAGGGAGGGGATCTAGACTCTGTAGAGCCACCGGGTCGGTAAGTGCAGGTGGCTCGTTTAGCGCCCTGTCCACCCTCCGTTAGAGCTCACAGACCACGATGACGATGTGTTTGTGTGAGAACATTTCAGTTGCCTGCAGTTCAAGCAGACGCAGTGTTTACCATTTTTTTTGTTCAGCTGTGGCTTTCCTGTGATGGATATATGAAGGGTTACTAAGTACGTATTACATATTTTGAAATGTTAGAAAATAACTCGTAATCCAATGGCAAATGTTGCTGTTTTTTTGTAACTGTAAGGTGGAAAGTGTAATCGTGGTTCAGACATGCTGTTTACCTCCGTGGCCTAAAATATACACCATTTTAGCCATGTCAAGCATGATCACTTAAATTCAGATAACGTGTAAGAGTTTTAAACGGTCTGTGAGCTTTACCGTCGGTGGACAAAGTGTTAAACATAATATTAAGTTTTTCGATTTGTGCTAAGTATGCAGAGCTTTAGCCTGGACTAGCCCAGTTCAGCAGGTTACATAAGGAGTTAGAAATGTTCATAATTGCAGCTGATTTGCTCAGAATTTACTTTATCGGTCAGTTTCAAAGTTGTAGAATCATATTGCCTTTTACACAATACGTTTAGTGAAGGTGCGAGATCAATAGATTTTTTTTTTCCTATCAGATTTAAATGTTTAGCTTTTGCTAAAGTATATTAGCATGCCGTGCTTAATGGTTATATACACACATTTTTGCCCTTGGCATTAGCTTTTTTTTGGGTTTTGCTCAAGCGCTAATTGATTACTCAACAGTTGTGGCAGTTCTGGGAGAAAAAAAAATTGACTGATAAAATAAATTAAAACTGTGCGGAGGTGAGTGTAACTTTGTAGATGCATAAATTGGGCAACTGCAGAGTGCGGAATGAATGTTCGTTGTGTTAATAGTTGCAGCCCAATTAAATCCTGCTGCACGTGTTGTGTTTAGAAGCACATTTTGAGAGCAGCGGAAGGCGAACATCAGCAGTTATGCAAAGTAGGACTAGAGCATCTGTGGCAACCCCTTAATTGGGCTTGTGTTGGGCTTCTAGTTGATGGAGGTGAAGATTGATCATTTAGTGCAAATGCTGCTTTTATGACTAGCGTAGGGCAATATACGCCAAACAAGTAATTAATGCATATTAATGTAGTGTTAGAGTTATATACATCCCATTGGTTTTCACTTCTAAAAGGGTTTGGTTATTAGGCTAGAGAGAATGTTGTGTTATTTTGAAAGCATTTAAAGTAAAGTTTTTTTTTCTTCCTCTCAATACTTCGTTTAGTTCTGCTGCTAGGACCTCATGGGCATCCTCTTAAGAGTTGAAGACCAGATGGGAATGTAAATGCGTTAAGACCTTGCATCAGGTCCAGTGGGGCAGTTTGCAAAAAAAAAACAACCTCCCACACACACTGGCAAAGAGAAAGGTCATTAACAACTGTACAGTACTGTTAAACCAGCCTTATTTGAAGCGAGTTCTACCTTACGGATGAAAGGCACACAGCTGTGCTGTGGCTATCTGCCGATGCTGCTAAACGACATCTTGTCAACGCGCAGTAACTTACGGGACAGCAAGCGACACGCTGGCACGCACGCACGCGCTGGCAAGGATGTGCAGGTCTTAGTTTGGGAAGGCTGCGGAGCCTCAAAACAGACTGCCACCTTGGGCTTGGCTTGCCTTGGCTGCTGTGCGATGGGCGCTTGTTGGATTTTCACAAATAGCGCCATGGTGCAGTTTATCTGTTTGCCCTCGGTTGTATAAGCCTGGGCAGGACGTTTCATGTTTGGGAAGGAGAAGGTAATAATGCACTTAAATTTTATCCAAATGAATGATTTTTTGTATGATAGAAAATTCATCAGTTTGTAAACGTCATGGTGTTTCCAGTGTGTGAAGCGTAGGCAGTTTCAATCCATTAAATGGGGAGCCCGAGTGAAATTTCTCACACCACTGATGAATTGTCATTCAGGATAATTTTTTTTAAACAATATTAGAACAGAGAAAATATATTATAATACACTTCTGTTTGAATGTACTTCTCCTTCCTCATGACTCGACTGAAGTTGGCGGTCTCTCCGTACGTAGCACTTTGCAGGCATGAGCAAGTCGGCAACGTATCACACCGCTTGCTTTGTGCACCATCCAAGACCTGTGAGCATCCTGCTAAACTAGTGACTGGCGCTGCCACACGCAAACATTCCAGACTTGTTGCTTTTAACACGAGGAAGCTGTCGTTACGGGTGTGCACGGCTGTGTCTCTGTGAGACCACCACTGAATACGTTTTTACCGAGTTTCGAGCGTAACGCGAATAGTGTTTTACTTCAAACACCCGGGTAAGGTTTGCTCTTTGTTTTATGTACTTGGTATTCCAACGATGTCATGCGAAGCCAGTGCCAGACACCAGACTTATATTTATTTATGATCATTTACTTGTATTTATTTTTTCCTTTAAAAGTGCGCAGGGGTCCGTGGGCTGCTTTTTTTTTAAAAGAAGAAGAAAAAACTCCTAAGCATGTTACAGCAGTGTTGTCAATCACGCGATTTGTACGCGATGGTGGCAGCGGCCACGGCCCTGTGTTCTGCCCCGGGAGCGCTCGTGTGCCGAGCCCGGCTGGGAGGTGGGAGGCAAAGGCCCCGATGTTTTACAAACACCACGCCTACTGTACACCATTCCTGCATTTGTTACTGCACACCTTTGCAATATAATGCACCTTAATGTGGGTAGAGAGTGACCTGTGACCTTGTTTGCTCGGTGATTGTTGCTGGAAATCTCTTTATTTTCTCCAGCTTGATTTAAAAATGAAATGTGGGAAAGAAAAAAAATTACCACCCCATGTGTTCGTGTTTATCCATCGCCGAGACGCTATCTTCACGTGCAAGCGGTTTCTCTTCCATTGCAGAAAATGATTGTATGATGTGTGACCTTAACAAGTAGCGCATGGGTAATGTGGGTTTGACTACGGTTGCGATGGGAAACCCCGACAAAAGTGTGTGATTTTAATGCGGATATAGCGTGCGCGATGATACGACCGGCATTTTGCGCCGTAGCGTTTGTTTCTACGTAAACAATCTTCACGGAAAATAACCAATGCTGGTGCCGCATCCGTCGAGGTGTGCACACCGAGCTGTTAGGCAGATAATCATAGGACTCGAATGGCTCCCAAATACATTGATGGAGCAGGACAGACGCGATGTCACTGGTGGATAAATGCAGGTAATACTGGCCTATGTTTTACGGCCCATGAATGTAACAAAAAAATGATTACAGCACTCATGAATATATGCGTAGTCCCGACATCGGACAATTTTGTATATAGTGAAGCTCAAGGGGGTAACTTGCAATGCAGCGAGAATAGGTCAAGCGATGGTTTAGTCAAACTTTTAAGCCCAATGTGACCGGGTGTTTTTTTTCTGAAGTCTGCGGGCAGTAGGTTAGTCTGGATCACCGTGAATCACTGCTCCACTCAACCTTTCACCCAAGAGACAGAGGTCCGGTCGACTTGTGTAGTGTTGGTCTGTGTTGTTTTCTCTGTTTTGTTCCCCGCGTTTGTGTACAAAGTGTTGCTTCATGTCGGTGAAGCTGTTAGGATTCATGCTTTGCTCTTGTTTGGTCATTAATAAAGCATCTCATAAGCAGCGTAGATATTCTTTGTGTCTTTGGGAGACTTGAGTACTGTGTTTGAACACCTGGTTTTCTGCTCCCTTGGCGCCCTAACATTCCTCGAAGAGCACCTCCAGACACATTTAATCTTTTACACTTAAACACAGGTTTTGGAACAAGATCACTTCGGGTATTTCTTGCTCTCTGCTCTCACCGCATGCTCGCACCCGCCAATTTGTACTGTATGTGTATGTGCCTTTCTCTACTTTATATGCCCTGATTAAAAAAAGGTGTATAACATGACAGAAAGCAAAAGGTTTATTAATCTGGTGACGCAGTAGTCTCACGCTGGGGAATCGCAAAATACTAAACTCAAACGTAACTGTGGAGCTACATAGCTCTTTCAGAAACGACCTGGCCACATGATAACGAAGTGGCTTGTGGAAATTAGTAGCAGCCAAATTATACGCGCGATGTTGCAAAATGTGGAGGGGAAAGTCCGGATGACCGGGGAGAGCATGCAGACTCCAAATATACAGGCGTCAGGGTCGGGGATCGAACCTGCATACCAGGCGAGGTCGTTCACATCTCACCACCGAGGCACTTATGGTTTGTTAACCAAAATATATTCAACTTGTCGCCACTGCTGATTGCACCTGCCCTTTCAATAGGGTTGGCTGCGTGGCTCTGGTTGATGCCATACATGGCAAGGCACCCGGCCAAAACCACTGAAGACAATTTTCGAACTGAATGTCAGCTTCCTGTAATTAAACCCGGTTATTACATCACATGCGAGTTGTCTCGCCATAAGCATGCAAAAATAGTGACATTAAGTTCTCACGAAATACTATTTGACAGTTCTACGATGCAGTGGTGGTGCGGTGGTTTGCACGCTACTTTGTGAATCCGGTGTCCCGAGTTCGAATCCTGTTGTTGACTCGGCTGAGTGATATATCTGAAGCAGTCCTGGGTTCGTCCTCCAACAATCTCCACTGGCTATCGTAGTAACGCATTCTCAAACAATCTACACGCCGTGCCAGTCATGGGGAGGGCTTCACTTAGTGGAGTGGCGACGAGTTTTGTACGTAGAACATGTGCAGCTCTTGAGGGCCACACATGTGGTGTTGCCGTGTGCTAAATAACGCGCTACTCGCAGGCTTGTAGCTCAAAAGTTCTGTGATGTCATTTTCCCGAGGTTATTGAATAACAACACCGGGCCACATGCACTGCTATCTTAGAGAGTTCGAAATAAGCATTGCGTCCTGCCATGATGCCTATAAGCACATCCGCAATGTAACTGGGAAACCTTCAAATTGTCTACGTCCCGTACGGACAACTGCACTCGGTTTCCCGTCTTGTCTGTGGACAATCGTCCATGGGCCCAGACCAAAAACAATCACTTATTGATACCACCTGAGATGGCAAAGTCTCGGTTTTTGCAATCCTCCACGTGTGTGGGCCATATTCTGATATGATAACCTTTGCGGAGTGGCAGCTTAGTTGTAGTTACCATGACTGTTATACCCAGACCCTGTGACAGGCGTCCGGAACGATGAAATGGGCATTATTACTGAAAAACTACCTGGACCAAAGCCAGTTAGGTCACATACTGGTCTTTTTTGGTTTAAATACAGAATGAAAACACAGGATAATAAGGACTACCATAGTCAGGTAAGGAACTACCTTGAATCTTCTTGGTTCTTTCGGTAAAGTCACGTAGAAGGGAAATAATAAAATAATAAAAATAAAACAATACAAATAAGGTGAAGAGCAGGTCTGTCGGAAAGACAGCACTGTCTTTCCGACAGACCTGCTCTTCACCTGAGGACGGCTGCTTGCGCTGTGGCCGAAACGTGAGAATTATTTTATTATGTTTAATTTTTATTATTTTATTATTTCCCTTCTACGTGACTTTACCGAAAGAACCAAGAAGATGAATCCCTGCAGTCACGAAAGCTTTAAATCGAAATTTAACTACTTGAATATTATAAACATTGACATTCGCATATACTTAGTCAATGATACATGTACTCTCATATATATCGTGAGTGATGGGTATATGTGAAGAAGGTTACATTATTGTTATCAAGCTCTGTGTGTACTTAGATGCTGTTAACAAGGGTAACCAAGTCCAGAATCACCACACTGTGCATCAATGTATACTACTACCACCACCACAGTAATACCATCAGAATCACTACCCTGTGTCTCTCATCAAACTGCTCGTCTATCTCGTCATCTGACTCCCTGAGTTCAAAGTCAGGTTCTGGATCATCCTGCAATTTTGGTTACTGCAAGTCTGTAACCTGCACATGTCTGTACATGTCAGTCTATTTGACAGGCACGTGCAGCTTGGCATTTTGCATGAACGCACATACTTGCATGCGAGCAGTTCCAAGACCACATCTGGTGTGGATGAAGAGCGCATCCAGTGAATGGCCAGCTTGCCATCATCTTCTGTCCATCCATACTCAGCAGGGCTTGGCACCACAGGGTTAGCCTGCAGACAGCACTTCCAGATTGCTGCCTGATAGTTGTCTCGTTGAACATGCGTGAAGAGACAGTCTCTACATGCTGGCAGCTGGCTGGACTCGCCTTTTGGTGCAGAAGAGCTGGTAGCGCAGTTCGTTCACCTCACCTGTGCTGCTATCAGCAACATTCATGCGACAGGTGAACTGCTCAATTTTTTGGAACAGCTCATCACTCACATTCCATGACTGCCCCAGTCGACTGAAAGTCTCTTGGCAGGAAGTGTCTTTTCTCACCATCTTCAGGGCATTCAGCTTCCCTCGACCGGCGAATGCACTGACAGTGTCGCAGCCTGTGAAGGCGTGCAAGCTAATTAGGCTGTCACAGATGCTGTCTCCAAGTGACCTTGCCAGTTTTCTGATATCGACGAACCGTGTGCGGTTCTGTGTCCCACACTTCTGGTAGATGGGACAGGTGATGTCCCTCTGGAAGCCAAGACAAAGCACCATGACATCAGTGTCCTCAGCTGTGATGATAACTGCCTTTGAGCCCACGTCTGCTGCATGCAATGCATGCAGGAGCAGACGGGTGTCAGCTTCTTCATGCGTGGAGTGCAGCTCTGCTACTTCCTCACACTCATCTTCTGTCAACTTGTAGCAGGTTTCCTCGCAGGTCATGTACAACACCTCGCCATGCAGCATATCTCTGTATCGTGGAGAGTTTCCACTCTTCCACCAGAAACTTGATGAGACTGGTCTTGTTGAAGGGATTGCTACAGGAATTTTCTCCGCTGCTGGACGTGGTGTCCTCCTGCCAAGGTTCTTGTACTGGCGGGTGGTGGCTGCACCCCGGTTCAGTCGTTCATCATCTTTGAGCGAAGTTTGTCGGTAGACATCATAAACAACATCAATCCTCTCACTGTGCCCCCTCGTGGAGGACCTGGGTCAAGGCTGACTCTGCCACCTGCGCAAAGGTTTTGTTGTTGACATTCATTATTTGGACCACGCTCATCCCATCAATGATGGAACTAGATGAGGTTTGTATGTCTTCTGCAGGAGACACATTCTTTTCAAGCTCTCTGGCAAGTCCAGCCGTGTTTGTTTTTCGTAGAGACCCATCAGCATTTGCCAGTGCCCATGGCAGTCTGCCCAGTGGGTGGGCAAGGACATCCTTAATATTCACCTTCCTGCTTTCAGCCACCAGGATCATGTGGCTGAACAGGTTTCTATCTACCTTCAGAATCACATCCTGTGCTTTCTTTCCATGTGCTGTTTTTGTGCTGATATTGTAGAATGTCTTCAGACTTTGCTTGGTCATCTTGTCGTGGAATTTCACAGATGGTGGGTCCTCAGCTAACCTTGTTTGCTTGCATACCTGGTAGGCCTCTTCTCCTATCTCAATAGCTCTCAAGAGATCCCTGGTCACATCAGGTGGAACCATGGTGCCAGTGGAGAGGCTGACCAGATCTGTCTCATCAGGGGACATAGGATTTATCCAGTTATTTTCCATATGGTCAATGAGAGCCTGGACATCTGCTTCATCTCTCTTCATCCTTGGACCCTGTAGATCTGGATGGGACAGTTTGGACCTGCCTTGACCTATCAGGTCTCTCAGCTGTCTGAGGTACATGCTGCTGTACTCAGCTGCTAGGTAATATTTGGTCACAGCTCCTGGCTTCAAGCTGAATCCCGTTGTCCCTCCAGCTGTCTGGTGTCTTTGTTCACCGTTTCTTCTATAGCTTGGTCAACAGGGATTCGGCCAAAGGGTGGAGCCCAGTTGCACTGAGAAACCTCCTTCCATGAATTCCGTGTACACATCTGGGTGTGTGATGGGCAGCTGAGACATCTGGACGTAGTAGTAGGGGAGATAGCATGCATAATTAATCCTATCATAAGCGAAGCACCATGGGATCATTGCTCGTATGCTTGCCAAGTGTAGCATCCAGTCTCCCTCCCTGGATGCTCGGATGAGCCCCAACAAGATTTCAACCATGTCCAAATAGGATATCCAGAAGGTCGAGAGGCTGCCGTTTCCACCTCTGAGGAACTCGCGGTAGACTTCAAACAGTTCCATGATGCGTGTACATGAGCTGTGCTCGAGGACCTCCTTCAAAGCGGCTTGTGAGACTTCTTTCCCAAGGTTGTCAATGGTCCTCAGTGTCTCATCCAGGTGAACCATGTCGTTCATGTGAGGTTGGTTCTTAAAATGAGGAGACAAATTGCGATGAAAGATGCTAAAAAACGCGAATTTAAGGCTTTGTTTACTTGGCGAAATTTGTATAAAATCGTAGAATATAAATAGTGCGTTTTTATGATTTTAATCATCAATTATTACCAATAACAAAGTTATTACCAATAACAAAGTTATTGGTAATAATTGTGTGCATGTTATGAAAGTTTACAATTTATAGAAGCAATATTTTAAAAAATATCAAAATTGACAAAATTAACAAACAAAAAATATTTTTGCCTGTAGTACATGTCCTTAACTAATACATCTTAACAGGTACATTAACAGTTAGCACTTTAGATATCTTTGCTGAACAGAAATAATACAGAACCACCAG